TTTTCCAAATTCAAAACAACGACAAACTGTCAAAATCCCCTGACCCCCTCCCGAAAACCGATCTTCTAAAGTATCCCTCTGGCGCTCAAAAAATTTACTGTCGAGGTAATAAAAGAACACCCGGTGACGGGAAAAACATGTTCAAACACACGGAAATTAGCAAAGATAATAAAATTGTACCCGAAAACCAGGAAAGGACCATGTTCAAAACAAAAACAGCAAAATTTGTCAACAGCTGCCAACATCTGGCAAAAATTCGTTAACTCTGAAAACCCAGCACCTGGGTGATTTTCGAACCAAAAATTCGCGCCAAAACGGAGGAAGAAAATTGCATAAAAACCCCCGAATTTTGCGCAACACCACCAGTCGAACTTTGAAGGAGCTGCGGATAATTTTCGTACAAACTTGAAATTCGAAAATTGCGGACTTGTCCAAAAATTCGAGAACTTTTGCGGACTTACAAAATTTCGGGAATTGTGTGAACCCTTTCAAAACTTCGGAACCTGTGAAACTTTTGTAAAATTTGACTGAAGTGTTCTTATAACCTTAACTTCAACTTCCAAAACTATTTTTAAAGCATTCAAAAGAGGCGTATTTGCCTTCTTTTCCTTCTTTACACTTGTGAAAAGCTTGGTGTGAATATCATTATTTTTTCCAACCACTGGAACTCCTTATTGCCTAAATATTTTCAACCGAGTACCAAAGAAAACTTACGCGAATTAATTTTATTGATTCCAATTCTGCCAATATTTTCGGGAACCGTTTATTGTGTGTGAGTGTATTGTGAATTCCAAGTTTTTTCTGAGCCCAGTCCTGGGAATTGTCATATTCTAAATTTGTGCAATAACTTGAAAGTGTATAATTTTGTTACACTTGTATTAACCTGTGAAGAGAAAAGAAAAGGTCAGCGCTAGTGGGGAAATAGTTCCCCGGTCGGTTCGCGCACCGGCCAAGTACTGTGTTTTAATTCTACTCCTAATTAATTGTTTGACAAGGTTTATTTCAGCAAACTCTACAAATTCTTTGCAGGTGTAAGGCTTGTAAAATTCCAACCACACAAAATAAAACCTTACACAAATTTTGATCAACATTTTCGGAAAACCCTATGTGCGCCTTATGTGAGTACAGTAGATTACAAAATATTCAAGAAGAAATGCATGGGGCCAAGTCTCAGCATCCATGAGGGAATAATGGCTGAAAGGATAAACTTAGGAATATTACTTTCAAGGAGTAAATTTTTCATAGAATAATACAAAAGTTGCATCTGAGATATGACAGGAATTAAAGGATGTTTTGCTTTTGTAAGATTTTCTTTCTCAGGAATATTCATCAGCATTCTGGCCATTTGCAGCAGTGGGATTACAGTATTTCAATTGCACAGGGAAATATTGTGCACGTTTTGCTTAAAGTAATGAAGAAAGCATCTGAATTAAAAATATTCTGCTCATTCATTCAATTTTTGTTGTAAAAATTTTTGCAAAAATATATTTTAGCCAGCAAAAACTGGGGTGCGCATCATACACGGGGATACGTTTTTTGCCAATTTACAGCCAGAAAATTGGGCGTGCGCATCTTACTCAAGGGCGCGTGGTACTCAAATAAATACAGTAATCACAACCTCCAGGAACATTTCCGTTGGAATGGACCTGAGGCTGGAAGGCAGGTGAAGAAAAACATTACTGTTTAAAACTCAAAGTGGTGTTCATTGAGAAGCTTGTGTTCAGTGTTTTCACTTTGAAAATTTAAACATACAAACAATTTGTAGAGGTTATTCCTGAGGCTGCAAATGGCCAATTGTCTTGAAATTTCTTTTACCAAAACCAACTCTTTGTTGTAGAGGTCTTAGGACCCCGAACAACAGTAAAATTGTTGTTGATGCAGGTGGTACATTGAAATTTGACCACCCCACAATCCATCCTTCCCACAATTTGACACTCAAATTTGCTGGGAGATCAACTCACAATTCAACCTCTGCCATTCAATTTTTCATAGGGACAAAAAAGGTCAAATTAAATGTGAAAATAAACATTTTGTTTGACACATTGCCTTGAAATTTGACTGCAGAAAAATTTGACCCCAGTCCAGCAATGAATTATGGTTCAAATTGCAGGGAACCACTTGTACTGTATGTTTCTTGTTACTCCCACAAAATGTCAGCTGAAAACTGAAAATTTCACTTTTTTAATATTTTTCCCAAAATGCCTTTTTTAAATAAATTTTTGGGCTCAACTGTTCATGAATCATGAATAAATACAATGAAAATACTCATATATATTTGAAATACATGTAAAACTCCGGTATATGCAAAATTTAGATACCACAACATATGGACAATAATTCCACTTATATAGGGACACTTGAAAACAAAACCAAATCAGACCCAACATCCAGACATTGATTCAACTTATAGGACACTTTTCTGTGAAGTGTTCCCCTGAAATCAAGGGCTGGGTGACACTCATAGGGAACTTAANTAGCTTCAAAGTCCCCACCTCATCCTCTTAGAATAAAGATTTTCACATCATCCTCCCAAACTGAAGAGGTTTGGTGCAAATGATGGAATGTATATCCTTGGAATGAAGCTATAATATTTTTCAGAAGATCACTCCGTTTTTTAAACAATGATGAAAAAATCTGAGAATGTCAGAAAAGCAAGATATAATTGATTATGGGCAGGTCTTATTTTACAAATTTTCCAACCATTAATTGTTAAAATATTTTTATAATAAAAAGTTATTGATGAGTGCAACAAACTTTTTCTGATGTCCCCAAGGAATTAAGTTTGTTGTAACAAGAATTTATTGAAATCCGCTTTTAAAAAAACTTTGAATATTTCATTGCCGCGAGATTTTTTGTAAGGAGGTTTTAAATGACTGCACTATCATATACTGATATCTGGCTGATGATACTGTACTTGTATTTTTTATATTTCAGCGATTCATAAAGACGGATGTAATGTCAAGGGCTACACAGCTTGGTCACTCATGGACAACTTCGAATGGGCTCGTGGTTACACGTTAGTGAAATTGTTTTTGGATTGATAATATTATTTTCCTTGATCACTGTGAGCTTTTATGTGCTAATATACAGGGAAAAATTTGGCATCCACTACGTGGACTTCAATGACCCGAAACGTCCGAGAACCTTGAAAGCATCTGGTCATTATCTCAAGGCTCTTTTCTTGAGGAACGGATTTCCGAGTGTTCGGTGTCCTTTGGATGAATGATCGGAATTGACGGCATGATTTCATTTCTAATGGGAACAGAATTTTTGACAATATACCCATATGCGCTCCTTGACCACTTGAAATTTCCACTGATTTCTCAATTCTGCTGAACGTGAATATGCTATATTTTAATAAAACTTCGGATCATCTTTATACTCGTATGTACTGTATCTAAATATTTATTTTGATCAGCTGGGCCCAGAAAAAAGTTTCAAAACGTTCAAAAATCACTCATGCTGGCACATATCGTACACTACAGTGTGCAATATATGCCCGAAAAACCAACATGATATATTTAACGAACCGTCGACGACGAGGGCATCAACACGGAGAATGTAGTGATAACATCAAGTATTAATATTACAACAAGAATTCATGCAGACCATTGGCATCATTTATATTGTTCGTGACGCTTATCGATCATTCGGAAGCACCAGGGAACACGGAAAGTCAATTGAAGTTTCATTTTACTACATACTTTCGTCCATGATTGAAAATTATATGAGCCATCGAAAAAAAGAGGAAAACAAGATAACGCCGTTTGCGGATTATTTTTTACACATACGGGATACGGATGTTTAAAAATACAACTCCTGATTAGCGAACAGTATTTCCTGATGAGATATACGAAGGGTTTCACGTTTCCCTGCGGACCCATTTTGGCACTAGTCTTGGAATGATCTGAACACTATGTAAGGGCTTTCTAAAAACATTTTTCTCATGTTCACTAGTTCCAAGAGGCTAGGCAAACACCCAAATGTTATCACCACCAATTTTTAACACTTCTCAGCACTTTTCATCCATTTGTTGAGACAGGCCTCTTTGAGATGTTCAGTTGAAATTTTCCATCAGAACAGCAGCAACAAGTTGTTCCGCGCGGAACCGTGTAACCCTTTGCTTATATAGAAGGTTAGACACT